CGAGCGAGCGAGCGAGACGAGCGAGGACGGAGCGAGGCGAGCGAGAGCGAGCGAGCGAGCGAGCGGAGCGAGCGAGCGAGCGAGCGAGCGAGCGAGCGGGCGAGCGAGCGAGCGAGCGAGCGAGCGAGCGAGCGAGCGAGCGAGCGAGCGAGGAGCGAGCGAGCGAGCGAGCGAGCGAGCGAGCGAGCGAGCGACGAGCGAGCGAGCGAGCGAGAGAGCGAGCGAGCGAGCGAGCGAGCGAGCGCGAGCGCAGCGAGCGAGCGAGCGAGCGGCAGCGAGGAGCGAGCGAGCGAGCGAGCGAGCGAGCGAGCGAGGAGCGAGCGAGCGAGCGAGCGAGCGAGCGAGCGAGCGAGCGAGCGAGCGAGCGAGCGAGCGAGCGAGCGAGCGAGCGAGCGAGCGAGCGAGCGAGCGAGCGAGCGAGCGAGCGAGCGAGCGAGCGAGCGAGCGAGCGAGCGAGCGAGCGAGCGAGCGAGCGAGCGAGCGAGCGAGCGAGCGAGCGAGCGAGCGAGCGAGCGAGCGAGCGAGCGAGCGAGCGAGCGATCGAGCGAGCGAGCGAGCGAGCGAGCGAGCGAGCGAGCGAGCGAGCGACGAGCGAGCGAGCGAGCGAGCGAGCGAGCGAGGAGCGAGCGAGCGAGCGAGCGAGCGAGCGAGCGAGCGAGCGAGCGAGCGAGGAGCGAGCGAGCGAGCGAGCGAGCGAGCGAGCGAGCGAGCGAGCGAGCGAGCGAGCTAGCGAGCGAGCGAGCGAGCGAGCGAGCGAGCGAGCGAGCGAGAGCTAGCGAGCGAGCGAGCGAGGCGAGCGAGCGAGCGAGCGAGCGAGCGAGCGAGCGAGCGAGCGAGCGAGCGAGCGAGCGAGCGAGCGAGCGAGCGAGCGAGCGAGAGAGCGAGCGAGCGAGCGAGCGAGCGAGCGAGCGAGCTAGCTAGGAGAGATCGAGCGAGCGAGCGAGCGATCGAGCGAGCGAGCATCATCGAGCTAGTAGAGAGCGAGTCGAGCGGGCTAGCTATGATCTATCGATCGATCTATCTATCGATCGATCTATAGCGATCTATCTATCTATCTATCTATCATCTATCTACTTTAAAGCTTTCCTCGTTCCTTACTTCTAATAAAAACCTGTTTCCTGCTCTTTCATTTACATTATTTCATGTGGTTCTTAGTTTCCTAATTCCAAAGGATTATAATTTTATAAAAATTGTTTTTTGTTAGATTTTTCTTTTATTCTCATTTCTATTATTTCTGCTTATTTAGTTCGAATTTTTATGCAAATTCCAAGAAGTTTGTATTTCATGCTAGATGACTTTTAAACTGTGTTATTACTATATTAAATACAAGATTTATATTTTAACATAAAATATTTTTATTTCTTCCGCACCAGGGGTGGAAATTGTGGGTTGTTTCATTCGGTCCTTCACAGATATTTCTTTAAATCTATGTTATAATAATATTTATGAAAATATAAGCAAATTTGTTCTTAATATTTATTTCAAGTATTTTGTTGTGTCTAAAAATACACTCTTGAACTAAGAATATAGAAAATTGCATTCAAAATAGACACAAATAGGAAGACAAGAGTTTGTTTGAAGGATTTTGACACGATTTCTATAGATGTTAAAGTTAAAAGGCAGAAAATTTGTTTATTTTTGTAAAAAGAAAATAACAACTTCAGTTAGTATAATTTAATTGATTTTAAGAACTTAAATTAGAAAAGTCAATTCTAAATTTTTTTTTTAAAAAGTAGTGTTTTTAAAGCTCTTTATTTTAGGTTTACAAGAGACATTTCTGTAATGCGTAATAAATAAACACCTTTTAACAATACTACTTAATAAACTGTTTATATAACTATAGCATAAGCTTATAGTCTTTTGACCTTTTCTTCCTATAATAAACATTTATTCCTCCTCCAAATAAATAGAAATCTTATTACAATTATTTGAACAGCCGTTTTTTTTTTTATTAATTTGGCCGACAGGTCATTAAAAGTAAATAGGATTTAAATTTTTAATTAAATCATTAAACAAAAACACACTTCTATTAGTGAAGTACTTATTTGATTTTTATTTTTTTTTCCTTTTTATGATTTCAATTTTATTTTATGGGCATTTAAAAATAGAAGTTCATTACATTTACAAATAAACCATCGACTAACCAGTGGGGGCGAACAAAAAGGACAAAATAGAAAAGTAAACAGGAAACCAAACAAAACAGCAGGAGCAACAATAACAAAAAGGACTTAAATGTGTATAAATATGCAAAATAATCTCATAGATTTTAGATACAGTGTACGGGAACCGAATAAAACGTATATAAAATGCAAATGTCTATAATAATAAAAAAATTTGTTTAAAGTATAAACACAATGTTCTGTTATGCAAAAAAGAAATTGTTCATAAATAGCATGAATTTTGTAATAAGTAGTATGAAGAAGACTTTTTGCCCCCAACATTTGTTCATTCAGTATATGAAGATTTCATAAATATCGTGAAATTGTATATGACGCAAATTTTTTAGATTTTTTTTTAAGAAATGGAATATTTTCAAATAATAGCTGAAATAAAATCTTTCAGACTTTTTGATACATTACAAAGTATCTACACGAATATATTATGAATATAAACGCAAATCATTTTGCGAAATTTTTCCGGATCGGTCCATAATTGCTCATAGCTTTTATATAAAGTCCACTTCCGATAATCACTTAATCCTAATAATAATGATATTGGGATAAAATTGGTTACGAAATGTGTTTTTTATAAATGCAAATAATTCTATAAATTTTTTTTCCGATCGGACCATAATGGGTCATAACTCCCATATAAAGTCCACTTCCGAAAATCAATTGTAAGTAGATCATAAAATAATAATGATATAGGGACAAATTTACTCGAATAAGTTTTGTATATATACAAATCATTGTGAATTCCTTTCTCGGATCGGTTCACAATTGACATAGCTCCCATATAAAGCCCTTTTCACATAATCGTAAATAACTCATGAATTAATAATGAAATCAGTACAAAATTCTACTCAAATATGCTTCGTATATATACAATTTTGCGAAATTTTTTTCCAGATCGGTCCATAATTGACCATAGCTCCCATACAAAGTCCACTTTCGAAATTTACTTTATCGTAAATAACTCATGAATTAATAATGATATCGGGATAACATTCTTATGCAAATTATTCTGAGAAATTTTTTTCGGATCGGTCCATTTAAAGTCCATTCCCGAAAATCACTTAATAATAAATAACTAATGAATTAATAATGATATTGAGATAAAATTCAACTCGAATATGTTTTATATGTATAGAAATCATTCTACGAAATTTTTTTCCGGTTCGGTCCATAATCGACTATAGCTCCCACATAAAGACTACTTCCGAAAATCACTTTATAGTAAATAACTCATGTATTAATAATGATATAGGGATAACATTCCATTTAAAGTCCACTTCCGAAAATCACTTAATAATAAATAACTAATGAATTAATAATGATATCGAGATAAAATTCGACTCGAATATGTTTTATATGTATAGAAATCATTCTGCGACTTTTTTTCGAATCGGTCCATAATTGATCATAGCTCCCATATAAAGTCCACTTTCGAAATTCACATTATCGTAAATAACTCATGAATTAATAATGATATAGGCATAACATTCTTATGCAAATTATACTGAGAAATTTTTTCGGATCGGTCCATTTCCGAAAATCACTTAATAATAAATATCATTAGTTATTTATATTAATAATGATATCGAGATAAAATTCGACTCGAATGTGTTTAATATGTATAGAAATCATTCTACGAAAAATTTTTCGGATCGGTCCATAATTGATCATAGCTCTCATATAAAGTCCACTTTCGAAATTCACATTATCGTAAATAACTCATGAATTAATAATGATATAGGGATAACATTCTTATGCAAATCATACTGAGAAATTTTTTTCGGATCGGTCCATTTCCGAAAATCACTCAATAATAAATAACTAATGAATTAATAATGATATTGAGATGAAATTCGACTCGAATGTGTTTAATATGTATAGAAATCATTCTACGAATTTTTTTCCGTTTCGGTCCATAATTGACTATAGCTCCCACATAAAGACCACTTCCGAAAATAACTTTATTGTAAATAACTCATGAATTAATAATGATATAGGGATAACATTCTTATGCAAATCATACTGAGAATCGGTCCATAATTGATCATAGCTCCCAAATTAATACTTCTGAACATCAATTAATCGTAAATCGCTCATGAATTAAATCGAATGTATTATACAAAACATTATACGAACTTTTTTTCGGATCGGTTCATAATTGATCATAGCTCCGATATAAAGTCCACTTTCGAAATTCACTTTATCGTAATTACCTATTTAACTAATAAAGATATCGCGATCAAATTCTATACGAACATTTTGTGAAACTTTTACTGGATCGGTCTATTATTTGCTAAGCTATAAACTAACCTATGGTTGGGTAAGGTAAGGTAGTACTTAACAATACTAAATTACTCTACAAATTCTCAAGCAACTTTTAAAATTCCTTTACATAGATTACACCAAACTTTGAGTTTCATTACACATCATTTTAACTTCTATTTCCCATCGTACAATTACAATCAACAATTTTCTTTGAGTGTAAGATAACAATCAAAAAAACAGATACATAACTATAACAATAGACAAATTTTACACAAAATAAAAGATGGCAAATGTATTTTATATGTTGGTGTTTGTTGTTCGTATTTGAAAGCCTGTTAATTTTAATGAATTTGGCACAAGTCAAAATAAAATTTTGTTGAAAATTAAGAGAATGATGGATTTCATTAATGATAACATTGACATTTAAGGGATCCAAATAATAATAATTAACAATTTAATTAGGCACTTGTTAAATATAATTAATGTTAAGTAATAAACACTTTATAAAAACCATTAAATTTTACTTAAAATTATTTAAAATTCTACTTTTTTCCAACTTAC